GTGGAAAATATATCAAGTTCTGCTCAAGTAAGCTCGATTTACCCCGGAAAAAAGATGAAGTTCTTCTGAAGAAACACCGAGTTTTCCAGGAGAAAGGATGAAGTTCTTGTGAAGAAACACCGAGTTCTCCACGAGAAAGGATGAAGTTCTTGTGAAGAAATGTGAGGTCTATCGTGGAAAATATATCAAGTTTTCCCCAAGTACGCTCGATTTGCCTCGGAAAAATGATGAAGTTCTTCTGAAGAAACACCGGGTTCTCCAGGGGAAAAGATGAAGTTCTTGTGAAGAAACACCGAGTTTTGTTGGAGAACAGATTAAGTTCTTCTGAAGAAACACCGAGTTTTCCAGGAGAAAAGATGACGTTCTTGTGAAGAAATGTAAGTTCTTTCGTGGAAAACATATCAAGCTCTGCTCAAGTACGCTCGATTTACCCCGGAAAAAAGATGGAGTTCTTCTGAAGAAACACCGAGTTCTCCAGGAGAAAGGATGAAGTTCTTGTGAAGAAACACCGAGTTTTCCAGGAGAAAAGATGAGGTTCTTGTGGAGAAACACCGAGTTTTCCAGGAGAAAAGATGAAGTTCTTGTGAAGAAATGTGAGGTCCCTCGTGGAAAATATATCAAGTTCTGCTCAGGTAAGCTCGATTTACCCCGGAAGAAAGATGAAGCTCTTCTGAAGAAACACCGAGTTCTCCAGGAGAACGGATGATGTTCTTGTGAAGAAATGTGAGGTCTGCCGTGGAAAATATATCAAGTTCTGCTCAAGTAAGCTCGATTTACCCCTGAAAAAAGATGAAGTTCTTTTGAAGAAACACCAAGTTTTCCAGGAGAAAAGATGAGGTTCTTGTGGAGAAACACCGAGTTTTCCAGGAGAAAAGATGAAGTTCTTGTGAAGAAATGTAAGTTCTCTCGTGGAAAACATATCAAGTTCTCCCCAAGTACGCGCGATTTACCCCGGAAAAAGATGTTCGGGCTATTCAAAACAGCATTTAGATTGGTTTCAGCTGTTGCCAAAATATAAAAAAGAGAGGATTTCTTGTGATAATGGCACACGGTACTATATAGATAATACCCCAACTCTTCTTTTCCATATCTTTAATGACTGGACCCACCTTTTTTGGACGTTCTGATCAGCTCACTTTGTAGAGATTTTCAAGGGCTATCCAATGGTATGTTTTCGCAAAATACATAATTTTTCATTCTGGCAGAAAACTGGTGCTGACCTATGGATTTGTGGAGGTGGGGTCTAGTATTTCTCGTGTTACGACACCCACGCCACATTTATTCTCAATATTATATATATCATTTTGTAGCCCGCGAAATTCTCTATCGAATGATGTACAGTAGTTTAGGTTTTTTTTGGGCAAAGAGGAGAAACTGGGAAAATATTCTAAATGAAGTTCATTAAAGGGGAGTAAAGTTTGGATGCGGAATTTTTTCCAGGGGGGCTGAAAATGGGTTTTTTGAGATGCTAGTTTTAATCAGCGAGAAAAACTACATCAGACTGGTGAATATGAGCTTGATCTGAGAGGGGGCCGATTTTGCCTCTTATCGACCCCCGTCCTTTGTTGTATTTACTGCTTTTTTGGCTCCGCCATTATTCAACCACTCATCAACTTAGTGCTGAGTTTAATATCCATCCTCGAAAAATACAGCGGTTAATTCGTCAATTCATCCCTGTCCTATCATCCGCTATTGGAATGATAAAATGGCCTTCAATTGAAAAACTGACAGAAACGGTGATTTATGATTCGGTGCTTGGTAATATAGCAGGCTACATTGACGGAACACGTCACAAGATTCAGAGGCCGGGTAAAGAGAGCAGTTTTTAACACGTTCACTGTCCATGTATTATATATAATTCATTTAATTTTTTACCATGAAGTTCATGCATCAGATCTGATAAATTTACAAGATTAGGCTAAATATGATTTTTTGTTGTGGACGTGAAACGTGCCTTGCAAACGTATCAGATCTGATTTTCGGGATTGTTGGATATTTAAATCAAGTGTTTTAATCTATTTTCTTCTTAAAATTGCTATCTACTTATTTTAAGCTCAACCGCGAAGCAAGTTTGAGGTGAATGATTCACCTTGATTGCATTATGTTCCCGAAGAGAAAGCCGGGTAAAACATGGTGAAATCAGTATGTCAATTACCTTAAACTCCATGGTCAAAAATTAAATGAATTATATATGATACATAGACAGTGAACGTGTTAAAATTAACGGGAGAAAAAATATTTGTTTAAACTTTCTTTCGAAATGCGAGGTCAACGAAAATATTACTCCGGGAAGCCAAAACATCATTGTTTGGCGACTATTTACATTTGCACACCAGACCGTCGTGTCGTCTTTTTTCGTACTGGATATTTTGGTTCATGGCATGACGCAAAGTTGTTTACCCAATCCAGGATCGCCGAGCGATGCCGAGTTCCAAAGCTGGCGTGTTGGCCGATCTGATGGTGTGTGAATCATCGATATAGCTCTTCACCCAAAAAATTAGATAGGCTCACAAAATGAGTCATACTCAGTTGACAGCCGTTGGTTCGGACGTCCATGGCGGACGACTGTTTACCTTTAAAATGAACTGAAGTCCTTTTTCCAAATCAGTTTCCAACGCTGATTCAGAAAAAAATAGTTTCAACTGTCCATCTTGTAATAAAACTTTAAAAAAATCAATTCAACGATAAAGGTCATTTTTTCGACTTTTTAGACCCTTGCAGTATTTCAGGTTTTTCTCCATAGAAAAAGGACTTTTAAAAGTTTTAAAGATGATATTCGTGATCAGCTCAGCAAGATGAATCAGAATATGTATGATAAATCGACAAATAAATCTGCTCCAATTTTGCATTAGCTGCACCTCAAGAAGGAAAAATTTGATGCGACGCAAATAGGTATGCACCAGTATCGGTATTCATACCGAAATACCGATACCGAAAATACCGAACTTCGGTATATACCGATACCGGAAATACGGACTTTTTTCGACTTGGAATTTTTTCATTTGAAATGAGATATTTTAGCGTCCTGGACACCCAGAAAGAATCAGGGTCGGAAAACAGGAGCTTTGTTTGCCTTCTAAAGCTAAAGTTTTTCTTTTTTTCTATCTGCACATGCTCAGAATACACAGCTGAGAGTTTTTTATACGTTCTGCTTGTCCAGGATGCTAAAATACCTCATTTCGAATAAAAAATTCCAAGTCGAAAAAAGTCGGTATTTTCGGTATCGGTATATACCGAAGTTCGGTATTTTCGGTATTCGGTATACCGATACCGGTGCATACCTAGACGCAAAGTTCTTAAAAGAAGAATAAATGGATGGAAGATAAGATTGTGCAATCAGTTTAATTATTTTATTGCACACTGAGGAATTTTTATTTTTCACTGAAGAACATGCTTTTTATGCCTTTGAAAGTGACAGAAAAACTTTTTGGTATATTATGTGTTCGTACATTATGTTTTTAAGTTTCCTGGAAGGTAATATTTTAGATTTCTTTTAACTTTTTATACAAACTACGAATGCATGCATATTTAGCTGTAACAACGTATTCTGGTAAGCCATTCCCCTCAATTGCCGTTCTGTGAAAAAAGGAATACAGAGTGGTATACGTCTTACCAAAGCGTATGTAGTATAAAAGTCTGAGTATAAGAAGGTATGGGTATAAAAAACAGTTTTGGACACCTACGAATATGGCATCCATAACGGAACTATCATCAATTCTTTTTCAATTTAATTGATTGAATTTGTGCAAGTAGATTCAACGTTAACTACTTCTTTCTCTATCAAATTTTTTTCTTTAGAATTCTATATAGGAGTAACAACTATTAATCCCCAAAATAGGAAATTTGGAAAAATGACACAGTTTATCGGGACGCCATTAAGTATGAACATTAAGTTTGTCAGTATCCAAGAAGATGTGCTTCTGAATATTGTACACAATCGGCTACTCCACGATGCTGTGTAATCAAAATTCGATATGATGTATAAGAAAGATTATTATTAATAGATACTGATGACATGTATGTCATTCGTGATGGAATTGTTGCCGATGGAATACCGGTTGTACCCGAATACAAAAGAGTCCATGTATATCCATTACTAAGTAATGATGTTGTATAATTACTACCTTCAATTGTACACATCAGAGGATCACGTTCTTCTGCATCATTGGCTGTTGCAAATAAAA